TTGAATGGAAAATTGCTTTCTCAGAAATACACCTATTTCTTGAGAACAACATTAGAATTTCATGAAATTTGGCACGAAAATACTTTAGGAAATAACTGGAATATTGAAAATAACTGATTTTTAACAAAGGAAATTCTAGATAATCGAGGGAACCTCAAGCAGGGATAATTAAAGATCTCTCTGTTAAAATTAATTGTTAGCAAAATGGTGTTAACTTGTATCATTACGAGCTCGTTGCATGCAAATTATAGAGAAAATCTAATGACTAGATTTTCTACAAATAAACAAACCAATTTTAAAGGCCTATTTATATTTATTTGTGTCGCCATGGCAACGGCACAGACGTCAGCTCAACTATCAAAAAAACAAAGTTTGTGTTTTTAACTTGCTTGCTGCCAGTTTTGGCGACCGAGAAATCAAGAATTTTAAAGAAAATGGTGAAAGAAACACAGGTATCTAAAACTGTGTTCAGCCACCTTAACTAGATGTATTTCCTTCGGGTACAAACTGTTCTATCCTCAATGAAAAGTTTTCATACCAGTGTCACATTAACGTGCAAGTCATAAATTAAGGATTTGATAGAATGCTCGTTTGAGCAAACCACATGTAAACGACCCAAAAACTTGTTCTATTACTTGGTCTTCCTTGAGGTACATGTTGAGGATGTTTAGACTACATGTAGGTGGGACCGAAAGGAATAACTTGAACTTACATTTTACTGTAAGACACGTACGTGTACATATTTTTCTGTTGTACTTTTTAACATTTCTTCATATCGCGACCTTGAATTCGTACCTTGAGGGTGAATACCGACGACAACTGATTGTATCTTTACAACATTAGGACTCTGTTCGAAAAGTGAAGAAGCTGATCTTTCCTCCACATCGAATTCCTCTAGTGTTCTGCCGAACTTCTTCACGTTGCAAGTCGCTTTGACTACATCTGTAGCTGTTACGAGAGCGATTGTTTCTTCTGAGCACAACGATGACAAGTATTCTACACAGGAAACTCCAGAGATTCCTCCTCCAATAACCACAAAGGTAAACTTTCTCCCTGTGGCTGAGGAGGCCATTCATGAACCTACTGCAGAACGTATTGTGGGTATACTCTGGTTGCTGACGAGAAAGCCTGGGCCTGAGTGAACCACAAAAGCTATGGAAAAGAATCATGGGAGTTGATCTGTTCTCGTACAGAAATCATGTAAACACAACTATGGGGCGAATTTGTCCCCTAGAAACCTAGACGAAAGTACATAATTCGTTTTAATTGGTAGGAATGACTTCATTGAAAGGTTTCCTTCCTCCAGCCGGGAGTGCTTTATGGAGAAAGGATCGTGGACGACTAAGGTCTGAAAGCGAAAGTGACTCATCTCCTTCGATTAAACATGTCGTCATTAGGGAAGTTTGGCAAAGAACGCATCCTTCACCACACGCACTTTACAAAATCGATGTGATGACTAAGTCTAATCACTGGTTCGTGTTTCGGAGGTACAGAGAATTTGATGAACTCCACAAAAAACTAGTGAAACTTTACGGCATCCCTAAAGATATGTTACCACCTAAAAAGCTTATTTCAAATATGGCACTGTCAATTATTGAGAAGAGGAAAGCAGCACTAGAACATTACCTGCAACGACTAGTGAACAGCAGTACCTACGTGTCGAGTTCCCCCGAAATTATGGAGTTCCTAGAGGTTCAAAGGCACGATGTCATAGCGGTGACAAATGCCCTAGCAAAGGATTTATCCCGAAGGGGCGAGGAAGTGCTGGCAAAGGGAGAAAGTTTCACTTTGGTACCTACTCAGCTTTACTGTTTAACTCGGCAGCTACAGTTACCAAAACCGACAAGTGCTGCAGATGAGGTAGATTCTGGAGATCTAGGAAATCTTTATGATTTCATCTATCAGCTGAAGTCATTGTGTGTTAGCAGTATTTTGAACAAGGCAACAAGCTCACAAGAGCTTTCTAGTCATTTGGAATTTGACATTTCCTTGTTTAGGTCTCTAAGCAGTCTGACAATTGATGGCTGCCCATTGGCACTCATTAACAATATGTCCAAAGTTCAAGCACAGATTAGAAATGTGACAGCCAGATACTGTTTGACTACCTTAAAAGAGCTCCTTGTCGATTGTGCTGCTGAGAAGCGTCAAGCACCCAAGATGAAGGGTCCTGCAGAGTCATGGAGAAGTGTTACAACAGCAAGGTTGATGCAAAACCGAATAGTTGTTCAACCATGGTGTCAGCTTACAACTCTCACTGTAGCGCAGAACAAATTGGCAGCGTTGGATGCCTCTCTTAAACTTTTGCCTGTATTACAAAATCTAGATGTCAGCCATAATGAATTTATTCATTTGGATCTACAACAGTTATGCTGCCCAAGCCTTGCATATCTGAATGTGTCCCACAACAACATCCACTTCATCACAGGATTACCCAGAGAGCTGTCAAACCTTAAGTCACTTGATATCAGCCACAACAATCTTGAGACAGTCAGTGGATTAGACTGTCTCACTGGACTCATTGAATTGAACCTGAGTCACAATCAAATACATGTTGTGAGAGAAATTTCTAAGTTATGTTTGATTTCCCATCTGAAGTATCTCACAGTTACTGGAAACCCTTTTGCCAGAGTGAAGCCCTACAGGATTGTTGTCCTGTCTTACTTTAAAGGTAAGGAGCTGATTCTCGATAAAAGACCCATCACACAGAAGGAAACTGCAAAACTCAAGTCGTACCCTATCAAGTCACGTGCAAGTAGCAGCCCTGAACATGTCCAGGGAGATAGTAACCTGAACAAAGAGGTGCCTTTTGGGCGATCCCACAGCTTCAATGTGTTTTGCCTTCCTGAAAGTGATGATGATTCTGGTATAGAGGGAGCTCCAAGCCTTAGGAGCAACAGTGTGATTCTTGATCCAGATGAAAGTGAGTTTAAAGACAGAGGCCTTCTTTTTAATTGGGAATACTACAGTGGGGAAGATAGATATCTGAGCAGCAAAATCCAACGGCTGACATGCCAGCCTTCTGAAGCTGAGCAGCTGGAAACAGGTCCTTCTAACCATTGCGATCTTGATGCAAAGGAGATACAAAATTTCAACTGGCATGGCATTGAATTTTTGCAAACTGGTAACGATTCTATCAAACCTGCATCATCTCAGGTATCAGAGGAAACCACAGTAAAAGATGGTATGTCTTTTCCTTCCCAGGATGCTAATCACTCAAATGAGCAATTTGGATACAAAGAGGAACTTTTCCAAAATTCCACAAAAGTTCCTCATGGGAATGACTTTTTGTTTGTCACAGGAGGAGGAAAGTTCACAGACTGAGGGAAGAACTCAACCCTCCTAAGCTAATGTTGATGGTGGAAAGCAACCAGTAAATTTGACTATCTTCCCAAAGCAACAACTCCTTGAAAAGGTGATAGCAACAATGATCAGCTGGAACAAAATATAACCTGTGAAAATGATCAGATGAGTGTCAAATGGATTTCCTAAGTTTTTGGTCTTCCCCTCACTGCTTGGTTCCTTTGTTTGTTGACTTCTCCTTTCAATGCTTCAAAGCATGTACAAAACAGCTAGGTAGGCAAGCTTTTATGCAATGGAACACATGTTCTAAGAAGGTAATAGTTCATTCCTTTAAACTTGCGATGCATACTTAAACTTCAAGTTATTATTCATAAGAATATTAATTTTGATAATGCATATTTCCCATTAAAATATTTAAGACAAAGCTGACATAAAAGCCGGAAACCTCAAAATGAGTCTGAGATGAAGGCTACCCTTGGTATAAATATTAAAATCAAAACTTAATATAATTTATTACAAATTGATAGAAATGTATTATTAACTTAAATATGTATTTAAGTTTTATTTATCAATTTAAGGCCACATACTGATTTGCATTCAGTCTCTAGGGCGGATCCAGGGGTGGTTCGGTTGAACCCCCTAAATTATCCCTCAGAATGCTGGAAATCATGTTTTCAAGGACCTAATTTTCAAAATTTTGAACCCCTCAGAAGGGAACAATTCTCCGAACCCCCCCTTGACTAAATCCTGGATCCACCCCAGAGTCTGTGTTTGTAGTTATTATATTTATATTTTTGGACATTTTGGTGTGTAGTATGGCTGAGTTTTTTAATGAGTTGTGCTGTAGTAACTGACTAAATCTGAACTTTGTTTGTTAGAATATACCACACAGGTGAATAGTTTATTTCACATTTACTGATTGACTTGTTTGGAAGTGAATGGCAACCCAATGAGACTAAACATGCATCAAGAGTTTAGTTTCCAACCATTTTTTGAGAGAAATAAACTAATTTTTTTCTATCTATGTGGTATATATACACCTTTGTATCAATGAAAATGGGAGATATTTACGGAGTCACAAAAGGGCAAGGTTAAAATATCCACCACTTTTAACCACTTTGGTGAGTAATTGTTAAATATTTGTACTCAATTTGCAGATGTTTTGTACTCTACTTGGTGAAGGTGGATAATAAATGTAATTATTGTATGTGATATCCAGAAGGTTAAGCAAAGGTTTTAACTCCTTAAAAGGGGATGCATAGTTAAAATATCATTTTACCTTGAAGTTTTTTTTGTATTTTGTGTATTCATGTGCTTCCTGAAAATAGAACCTACAGAAAGTAACTGTTAGAGTGTGAATGCACAGATGATTACCAGAGCAACTGCTTTTCCATCCATTTTGTTACTTCAGAAGAAACATCCAAAAAGGTGTAGTAGTCATCTTGAAATGATTTCTGTTTTTTAATAACTTTTGTAATAATCCTAAACAATCAGAGCAAATCTGTCCCCTTATTCACCAGAGTATTTACATTACAACAAATTACAACAATTACTATCAACCAATATGGCATTGAAAAAATTGCACACTTTTTACAGGTAATAGTAAGACCAGGAGCATATAGGACACACAGTGGTTTTGAATTGTCATTTGATAACCTTGATTAAGTAAGAATTGTTTCTCTAGTGCAAAGCAAATACCCTTCTTCCAGTTTATTTTTTGGAGGATAGGGTTGGCAGTACACAGGCTAATCGCAAAGGATACATAAACTGTAAGATTTCCTTTTTTACACTTGGCCCCAGTGTAATTAGACAGGTTAACTCGTGATATTTTAGGCCTTATGAAAAAAAATAGCTTATGAAAGTGGTAAGAAGAGTGTCCAATAGATTCCCCATTGTTTTAGTCTCCCCCTCACAGCTTGGATCCATTTAATTTCTTGGGTCTCACACTCAATGTTTTAAAACTTGTAAATAACAGCTAGGTAGACAGGCTTGTGCCCTCATCTGTGGGAATTTACCTAGAACCTTGTTTCAATTACCAGCTGCTGGACTCGAGAGAGCAGTGGAAATTAATCTTACCTAGACCCTAGACTGTAGTATGTTCTGTAGTTTATCTGTTACTATTAAATTTGATCACAACAACTATAACCTAGAACCAAGCAGATGCAAGGTTATGCGGCATTGAAAGTATTAAGGATCGTAGAGGTGCCGTAAGTGTTGGTGATACCAGTACCCTGGCATAGTACAAGGTGTTCAGAAAAGAACATTTTTCAGTTTTAAAGCTGAGAGTGGTACGTGCTATAAAATAAAATGATGAATGAATTTGGTCGGGCCTAAGCCACTACAGATTGTGCTAGTAAAAGTAGCATATTATGCCACTGCGAATTCTTTTTTTTTTTTTCAAAACTATGCGCAAAATTATGCCAACCTCGTTCCTGGGGTCTCTCATCTTCCCCCCCTCCCCCCCCCTGGAGCGAGCGAGGAGAGACCCTGGTTTAGGTGTCTTTCAGATTTTAGGAGACTTCAAATTAGCTTTTTTTGGGGGGGGGGGGAATTTCTCTCCCCTTAGTCCACTGGCGAGCGTAGCAATCAAAACAAACTATGATCAAAACCAAATTACTCTCCTCGCTCGCTCCAGGGGGCGGGGAGATGAGAGACCCTGGGAACGAGGTTGAAATTGTGCTCGATTTGAAAGTTTTGCTGCTTTTACTTAGAATAAGCTTTTCAAAAACGAAACACGAGACAATCCAAATGATGCATTATGTGTTGAGAAAAGATGATCATATGTTCTCACCATGGTAGCCTTCTTTCCCCAGAACATATAGACCGAATCATGAATTTTGACTTGAAAATAATCACTCTTGAGACGAAGCAGGTCATGCCTCTGGTTATGTTCTCTTAAAAACTTAAAATGTGCTGGCAGTGCTACTTTTATAAAAAAAAGTGCAAAAATTATGCGGTTCTCAAAAATTACGCCGAAAATTGTAAAGGGGCTAGTCGAACCTGATGTGAAAATATTTGGTCGCGTGGTCAGTAGGCATGCATCTCATTGCGCTCGATTCTTAGGAACGCAAACCGCACATTTTCCCCTCCGGCCCTCCCACTCAGTCAATGAGTACATTCTTCCTGTTTTCCCGCCTTCGCGTAGAGTCCTCATAAAAAATATTTTAAGAGTTTTCAATAAAAGGGCGTGCGGGGACGTGCGGGTCGTGTGATTTAGTGGAACAGAATATTGATATAATCCTTATAAAAGAAACAACATTTTTCAATTTTTAATGGTCGTTGTACAATTTGAATTCTCACTTTAAAAATACGTTGTGGAATTATGAAGTTTACACCATAGAGATTCATAAAATATTTTGATGAAATAATACGGAAGCACCTATGAGCAAGAATAAATTATTGCGCACTGCATCCTTTGTCGCACCGTGATAACATTGGGGATAAATTTGGCGAGTCGACAGTGGTCTCTGTCTGAGAAGTTTGGGAGAGCGGGCAGAAAACCTAAATTTAGTGTTAGATCAGCCTCGTATTTGCGTGATCCCCACCGCACGGCATCTTCTATCCTTGGCTGTGGCGAACTAGAGAAAGGCTTCTAGGTCTGAGGGACTTATCCTAAGACCAATAATTCACTAATAAATGTATTTGACAGCCAGATCAACACATTCATCTAGAGGTGTGCTTTAGGAAGGCCAGTGTCATTTTTATGATATATTTTTAAACTTATTTTTTGCGTCATTACTACTTTTAGCTGTCTTATTTTGTTTCGTTTTTTTCTGGGTTGCTTCATAACAACAGTATTGCTTTCATTGCTTCCGCCGTATTTTTTTGAAAACATCTTACGAATCTGTACTCCTAGGTCACAATCCGCGACATATTTGTGAAATATAAATTGTACAATAATCATTTCCAACTGAAGATAACTACGAGAATGTTGAAATATCTTTTAAAAACATTGATTTTTTAATAAGAATCATTGTTTAACTCCTTATTTTCCGAAGGTTTGTTAATATTGTTATCCTTTCAATTAGAAGAGAAAAAAACTGAGATACAACAGCTAATAGGTAGCAGAACATCATATCATAGATGGGTAAAGAAATGGGGACATAACAGGAATAAAAATACAAGTTAAGGTGAAAATCTCAAGGTGAAGATCTCACTTAAATAACATTTTGTTTCGCCGAGAAAAATAACCTGCAAACATTCATAGATTGTTGAACAGTCTCCAAATTTTGCTCTTGAAGTATACCACTTTCATGAATTTTGGTTCAATTTCTTTCTTGGTTTAAAATTTTTCAAGCTGGTTTGAATTTATCTTCTTTTACCTTGTGCTCACTATCATTATTTGAAACGAAGGAGAGTAGCTATCAAACTAGTTCTTCTCTTCGTTGCAGTACGGTTAAATCATTTTCATGGGCACTGATGATACGTAACAGTTTGAAACAGTTTATCATAGAGCACTTTTCAGTTTTTTTTCTCTTTCAGTTGGCTGTGAGAAAATAAGAACTATCCCAACACTTGTAACAAGCTTAAGACAAAACAGGAAGGTAGGTAAGAGGATCCTAGAAAGAAAATATTTAGTTCTCGAACACAGGACAAAAGCAAACCCGTTCACATCTGTAAGGCTAATCACTGCCATAGAAAACCAGCCAATCACATTGGCTGCAATAAATCATGACACTTCTACAGTTGTCCGCCTGAAACAACCTTGTTCCCAGGGGCCCCTCTGTTGTGCTTCAAGATTGACTGCATCGTGATTTTTCATCTCTAGAGTTTTACACTTATCTCGTCAATGAACTTTACTCTATAGCTCAATACGTGAAATCCATATCATAAGGATAATACCAAAGTTCACTTGAGTGAATTATTTCCGGTTTTATAATTCATCAATGCAGATCGTATTGTTTGTTATTTATTTTCAACTTTTATGATTCAGGCCTAGTTTTTTTTGGCCGACCGTTCTGCATTAGATGTCTTCAAAGTTTTAGACTGATAGGTGACAAAGCTTTCTCATTTAAAAAGAACTGAGCGGAGAATGTTGGGCATGACATATCTTCTCCAAAATTTATGAACTTTGTTGTTGATTGAATTATGCGCGCTTTGTATAGTGATATCGGTGATATTTGACCGTTTGCATCGTATCTTTCGCATCTTTGTGTTAGCATCGTTTAATCTCTAAAGTATCAAGTCCGTTTCGAAAATCCTAGGAGTAGGTTGATCGTGGTGCATGGACTTGTCAAGCGCTGTAACGTTTCTTCGCAGTAGACTTTTCCCAATGAGCACGCGAATTTTTATTTTGAACAAGCGAAAGATCATGTAATTAGGGGCCGTAGAGCAAAAATAATTCTTAATTTTTTAACCGCAGTAATTAATTTTACCATTTCAGAATTGTATATGCTGTAATGCCTTTGTTGACTTGTCGACGACAACAATAATCTTTAAGTTGAGTAAGTGTTTGCGGTCATTTTGCCATACTTCAAATGCTTACCCTCAGGATCTTTATAATTAGCACCTTCCAGCTATGTTTTCTTATCTCACCCAGCTTATCCCTTAAACTAAGGTTTCTAAAGTACACGGTAGAAAAGATAATAAAATTAATCGTATAACAGCTTTTCGATACGAATTTAATGTGTAGTGACTGACAATCAAGGAGTAATTTACTGAGGGGCAGGATAAACAGTCAACGTGATTTAAAACCAAAACCCATTGGGCAATGCGTTGTCAGAGTGCTCTGAAATGCGCGATAAACAAAAAGCTTTCACATCTCCTACAAGTCTTAGTCTTACACAAAAACAACGATTTACCTATTAAAGGAGCATCTTCGTGCCCTTGAGGTACCTAACACATTACTAATATTTTTTTAAAGAGTTGTTCTTTAAATAGACTGGCGACAATATATTTGCTTTGTTGCTCGTCAAAACGTTTAAGAAAGGTTTCGCTCACGATATCACCATGGCCGGACCTTCAAAAATGAATGTAGCATCAGACGCAACGTTGAACAGGGAGGAACGAGCTCGAGACAGTTTGAACTTCATCATTATGGTAGCTGATAACAATGTGGACATATGTGGCTTCAAAAAAAAGTCATTTTCTTATGTTATATTTTATGTCAAAATACAAAAATCTTAGGAATGCCAACTTTTGATGAATAATTCAGATTTATGTTCGTCTGGAAACATCTTGCAGCTTATGGTAAACGGAATCTGCGAACATAACAGAAAAATAACGTACTGATAAATTAAAGGGAGTGATCATGAAGTTCGTGGAGTATGATAAATGCAAGGATCGTGTTTTTCTCTTACTCTTTACTTTCTACGATGGGCGCCTTAATAGCCGTTACTTATTCGCCTTTAAAACAATAAAATCAAGTCAAAATTTCGAGGGTTTTCCAGGCCTTTTCAAGGTACTATGTTATACTGTATCTTGTGGGATTTCGCTTTGCTGAGCAGGACAAAGTCATTGGATGTTTTCCATTTTTAATTTTCGCTGTGGAAATGATTTCTGTATTGACCTGTTCAACAGTACACCACATATTGATATTGAACAATCCAATGGCGAATTTTGTACATCTATGGTAGAATGAATGCTTTTCGAGAGGTGTTTAAAAGCAGTTCCCCACGTCCATTACAGTAAAATTTTACACTTTTACGCAACAGTGTGATTGTTTACAAATTTGTTATTGTTTGGATACATCAACTGTCTTAAAAATTACTTCCCTGTTAGAGAATGTAAATCTTGCCAAAACAAATACAAAGGTTTCCTTAGTTATAGACTTTCATGCAACTAATAAAAAGCATTTTGGTGTTTTCTTTGCGAAGCGAGTGAGGTTTCCGAATGCTTTTAGTGCAGTGATTCACTGCAGGTGGTTTTTAAATAACTCTAATGCTTAACACGTCTACAACCTACGATCAACGTGCATATTTTTTTCCAGATATTCAGGTTGAAGTTTTTCACTTTTCTCTTTTTCACAATGAATTTTTGCGCCATTGGTGGTTGTTTACCTCGGATTTTAAGAACACTAACTATTTACTATTAGATTCGTAAGCGTGCAACATCGAGAAATATTCCAAACATTCGACAATCAATTTTATTGTAGGAAAAAGTCAGCGAAGCATTAACACCCATCAACCAATGAACTGTCCGTACGGCTCTTTAATTGACATCTACAATCAACTCATTTGAATCGGCCTTTCTACACATAAATAGTTTGCATCTCGAGGGACTTCAAGATTATTTTGGCCGGAACGTTCCGATTGTGGACTAACTTGTGACAGTGATTCGAACATTCATGACGCAGGTTTGCTAGTAATCTTTCAAAACAAAACAGCATGGCTCTTAAAAGCACTCTACTAGTGTGCTTGATCATCTGCTGCCAAATTAGCCACGTTACGGCCGTGTCAGAATGTTCGAGCGCTATAGTCGCTTCAGTGTTCGGTACAATCGCTGTGATTCTTCTTATCGCTGGTCTTGCAGCGCTGGTTTGGTATTGTCGCCAAAAAAGATCAGGTAAGATGCCTAGCTGTGAACTTGTTTCATTTCCTTTTATTGAATATATACTTCAAAGGGCGCTACTCACATTTGCGTCCCCTTATTGCAGGAAAACTCTCGTCAAAGTCTTCAGTGGAAAGCGCCAGTGAACCAGAAATTTCTCTCGGTACAAAAGCCAAAGGTGGTCAGGTTGGTTTAAATGGCCATGGAACTCCGGTCACTTTTTCACATCACTACAAAGAAGAAGCGCCATCTGCTGGTAAGAAAAATGGAGAAATGGGTACGATCCTCTCCGCACCATCTCGGCCTATTTATATATATATATATATATATATCTACTGCATTCTTAAAATTACTTATTAAACGCGTCTGAACTTGTCTTGTAAGTTTTCTCTTTCTAGTTTATGAGTGCCTCTCAAGTTTAAGCTTGAGCTTAAGCAGCTTGAAAAACTCGTGTAATTTCGAAGAGATTTTATCAAAGCTATTTTATCGTTTTTACTATTATCATTACTGATATTATTATTATTATTATTATTATTATCATATTTGTCATGTTTTTGAGATAAGTATATGCATTGATTGTATTGGATAGCTTCTAAATTCGTGAGTTCACTGAAGTGATAGACTACAGCACTTTTCAAGCGATAAAATGATAATTTTTTTTAATCACCTCATCAACCGCGTTCACACTTGCGTTTTTTTCCACCGAGTGAAGTTCCCTTCGTAAGAAGTTGACAATGTTGCAAATAACGAGTGACTGAGTATTTCAGATGCTCGATGGGAGTATGACAGCGAAGAATATTTTTGATGTGCAGCACTGAAGCATGTCTTGAGTAGAGCTGTGCTTTAACCCAGTTCGTCTAATTTTTTAACCTTTGATACGTTACTAACTAGAATGTCCTTGTGTTAAAATGTTTTTCTTTATTTCAACAACAAACTCTCACCCACGTTGACATGAGATGGTGCCCAATTTCTTCTAGCTTCTTTCTACGGATAGCAGTATTTTTTCAAGATCACTCAAGCATTGAAAGTGTGAAGAATCTGGAAAGCCCTCTTTCTATAGCTTGTTATCACACTGGTTGGTCGCGACACGTATCTAGGAAACGTTCTAAGGACGCTGTATCAAAAAATGCGAGTTGTAAAAGATTAAAAAAAGTTGCTTGCGGCTTTCGACTTTAGAAATGTAAGGAGAAAATAACAGAATTTTTTGGGAAAAGAATAGTCATTACATCGTCAAGCAGGTGATATTTGCGTCATGTTGGTTGCCTAGAGTTCGAAAGAAGGTGACAGAAGTTTACAGAGACATCGACGTTTCACACCCCGCCTGTCGGTCATTCTTAGTGCATTACGTCAGAGTAAAATACATTATATGGTAGATAAAGGTTGATCTGGATATTTCAGAGATGAAACCTTCTTACTGTAGAGCTTACAAAAGTTGAACTTGAGGAACCTAATTCGCAAAGTCATCCAGAAGAAAAGGTAAAAAAAGGAATCATCAATACCTCCTAAATGTTCCAGACACAACCTCATCCTTCGAAATTTAACCACACAAGATCACAGAATACCCATCGCTAAAAATCATAAACAACAGCCTGCGCCATAACATAGTCAGAACAATACTACGACTTAATAAGAACACTGAAGGCATTTTTCATCTGCCATTTGTTTCAATGGAAACGTTTTCCATTATTCAATGCTTTGTTTCTGTCGAAATTGGCTCCCCCCAATGAGCTTCAGGAGTCTTTTAATTTTCTTAATTTTTTTTTTTTGCAAGTTACGAGTTCGTATCCAGGTCGTACGGATTTGTAGTGAAACTGAATCTTCTCTGTGAAGATCAACCGCATTATTCGTATAAAGTGAATTAGGCGCATGACCATTTAATGAGAAGAACTTTAATTACTGGTTTGTGCCCTACGTTATTAGATATATTATTTAAACAACTAACACTCATTTGTTTCGTTTAAGCATGGTATAAGTGTTTTACAAAGAAAGTTATGCATCCTGTGTGAATAAATGAATAAATGCATTAGGAACTTTTATGATGTTTAATCCTCTTTCCATTTGTTTCTGATTTGTCTCAATTTTTGCGTGACGTAGCTTCTTCCTAGATTGTGATGTTCCTTCCTATTTGATATCGGTTTAAAGCTTACCATCTTCGTATGTCTACATTTGGTAACGATACTTTAAAAATTGGTTAACGGCTAAATAAGCCACAATTGTGATTTTATTTGTTTGTTTGTTTTGAACAGCCTACAACACCAAGGGAGTTGTTAATCCAGCATTTGGCGGGCAGCGAGAAGTGCTCATTGACATGCCATCTAAAGAAGATGGCGAAGTCAAAATTGACATGGATGGAGATAGTAGATTCGAACTTCCTTCGTCCAAGGAAAGGGAGGTAAAGATTGATATGGGTGAAGGTCCACAGAAAGAGATTCCTACTACTAAGGGGGACATAAATCTTGACATGGATATCGATCTTGGTATGAATGTGTCCAATGAAGGCAGCCCCAAAATGTCATCGAGAGATGCAGAGCTCCCGGACGTAGAATTCCATCACAACAAACCGTCAGGAATAGGTTTTCCGGGTGGGGATGTTCCTGGTGCAGACACCGATTTCGTCTTTGAGGGCTCATCCACACCAACTTTTGACGTGTACGGACCAAAGAATATGGTTAGCGATGTTTTAACTTATGAATTATATGAATATCTAGTTTCGATGTATTTTTGACTGTACACCCCAAGATTCAATTCATCTGTTACGTTGAAGAAGTGCCATAGCTACATTGTAATAGAGAGCCAGCTTGTCCACAAGACGATTAAATCAACTCGGGGCTAGAGTAATAAATCACTTTGGAGAGAGTTTTCTCTCTTGAATTGTTTTGATTTCAGTTTTGCCTTACACTTAAATAAAACCACACGTCAGTATCATACAAGTTTTGAGAGAAGGTAAAACTTGGTAGTTTTATTCTCTCATCCTAGATTAGCTCTTTCCGCCTTTCGAACATTTGGGCCCTGATGTATGACAATTTTCAGTTACCAAAAAACTGAATGAAAGTATAGGAATAAAATTGATCAGATCGTTTTTTTTGCCATTGATTAAATATTTAAAGTCTAGTATATTTTGAGCATGAAAACGACCTACTTTATCCAAGAAGGATCTCTTACCTTTGCAAAAGCCAAATGCTTTTGCTCCTATGTAATGGCTGAATAATATATGTGTTAACCACTATTAACAATATTTATCCATATCAATATAGTTCTCATTACCGCTGTCATTGTCATTATTGTTGCTGTGAGCATTATCAATATTGATGACTTCCTTTCCTGATAAACACACATCAGTTCTATTCTTCATTGCAAAAAGCTTTACTTTTTATATCTCTTGCTTATCCGTCCTTCTTGACAGGAAACCATCGACGTTGATCTTGACCGACCTGAGAGTGGTGGCTTTGGACTGTTGATTGCGAGGGATAAGACTTTGCCGCCTCCTGCTTTATTCGTAAGAGAAGTAACACCTGGTGGTGTTGCTGCGAGAACAGGTCTCGTGGATAAAGGTAAGAACACTGCACGATACCCACGCATGTTACATAAGGATGAACATAACAATAATTGAGGTGACCTCGTCTGCTTAGACATTTTACGCGGTAACCAGGGCAACACACTAAATGGCGAATTCTTATTCAAGGTTAACAAAACGATTCGTCGCAAAAAGATATTTTCAGAGAAAATAACATGCTCATATTAGTAAATTACAGCACAAGCGTTGTAGGAGAATTTTAATAGCGATTTTTAATACCTAGCACATGAAAGTAGATCGCTTCCTTGAAGTAGTTGTTTTTTCTTAATCGCTTGCTCTAATAAAATGGTCTAAATCAAGCTATGTCATAAAGGTTTGACACACAGAATAGGTAGTACTTAATGAAACCTGACCAATAGTCATGTATATTGCTCCAGAAAAGCACACGCTTCTAATCTGTTTTTTGTCTCCAAGGTGATAAGATCGTTGGTATTAATGGAACTCCGATTGAGGGTCTGGCTCATGACAAAGCAATGCGCCTTCTTCGCAATGATGACAATCCAAGGATAAAACTGACACTGTTGAAAAACCCTTTGCAAGAACGAAATGGTAGGTAATCTGATTAGCGTGGTAATATCTAAGTTATTCTACAATAAGAATTTACTAGAAACAGGCTGCGAAAACTAAATTGTGCGTATTGTCATTTTCACATTGACTCTATGCTAGAAGTGTGCATAGTATTTGTATTTGATAATCGATAATTTTCCTGGCGAGATTATGAAGTTTATAAGATATCGAACTGATTTGATATGATAAAATCGAAGAAGAACACACTATAATGTCATTTCATCTCCTCTCACCGTAAGGCTCACTGAATTTACCCGAGAGATCACTGGATCTATCTAAGACGATTGATGAATCCTGTACAGTTGACGTGGAACCAGGACTAGAGGCTGGGATTCCATCTCTTGATGTCGAAGGATTGCAAGGGAGTGCAGATCTAAGAGAGACGGAGACCTCATTAAATATATCAGAATTCGATGGTGATGGCCCACAAGTGCGTATTGCTGGGCCAAATATGAAACCACACAGTCTTCAAGGTTCATCTTCAAATCTGAAATTGCCATCACCTAAGACTAAGCGTGCTAAATGTTTCTCCTGTCTATCCAAAGGAGATAGAGGGGAGCCCTACACCAAAGAAAATACAAGTGATAGATTGGATTGGGACAGACCGAGTGCTGATCGTTCATCGCAAGGTAGACTAAAAGCACAACTATCCGGGCCAAATGTTGATGCTTCAGCTGGGAAGTTCAAGGGTTCAAAGACAAACGTTGACGTTTCTCCCGCCGGTGAGTTGCCTTCCTCAAAGAAGAAGCGGGGTAATTGTTTCTCGTGTGCAGGAGACGGGGATAAAAGCGACCCATATAAAACGACTAGGGGAAATGTTGGTATCAACCTGAGTAGCCCCGATGGATCAACAGAGATGGTGAAACCCAGGAGTATGGACATAGCTGCTATCGAAGGACCAAACAAAGGAATCTCAACAGGACCGCCAGAAATTTCCCTCCACGTAAAAGATCCAACTATAAATACCCCCGATGTATCTATTCCATCAGGAACCTCTGATATCGGCATTTCTGGAGCAGGAGACATTTTTTCAAAACGACCAAAAGTTGAAATGGAAGCCAATTCCCCAGACATTGATGGACCAAAAGGAAAACTCGACACAGACATTTCAGTCCCAGATGCAGATATATCACATGGTGATTTAAGAGGCCCTAGAGCACAAATTGATGCACCTTCTGGAAAGTTAAATTTGCCTTCTTCAAAGAAAAAGCGCGGTAACTGTTTGTCGTGTGCAGGAGATGCAGATAAAGACGACCCTTACAGAAAAACTCAAGAACGTGTCGACTATAACCTCCGCTACCCTGATGGATCACTAGAGATAGAGAAACCTGGGAAATTGGACATAAGTGCCTCTTCACCAGATTTTCAAAGACGTGAGGAAACGAAAGACTTGAGCTTCAATTCAACCGAACCGAACTTTGATGTGCTGGGCCCAAACAAAGGAGTTTCAACGGAAATGCCAGAAATTTCACTTCATGCAAACGATCCAAGCGTAGGTACCCCCGATGTATCTTTTCCATCAGGAGATATCGATATCAGCCATTCTGGAGCAGGAGACATTTCTTCAAAACGACCAAAAGTTGGAATAGAAGCCAATTCCCCAGACATCGATGGTCCGAAAGGAAGATTCGATAGAGACATTTCAGCCCCAGATGCAGATATACCACATGGCAAGCTAAGAGGGCCTGGAGCACAAGTTAACGCACCCTCCGGACAGTTGAATTTTCCTTCTATAAAGAAAAAGCGCGGTACTTGTCTGTCATGTGCAGGAGATGGCGACAAAGACGACCCCTACAGAAAGACTCAAGGAAATGTTGGCTATGACTTCAGCGGCCCCGATGGATCAATGGAGATGGAAAATCGTAGCAAAGTGGACATAAAAGCTCCCGGGGCTGGTTTTCAAGGCCGTGCACAAACAAATGACACGAGCCTTGAAATAACTAAACCAGACTTTGATATCGAAGGACCAAACAGGGGAATCTCAACAGGACCACCAGAAATTTCCCTCCACACAAAAGATCCAAGTATAAATAACCCAGATGCATCTTTTCCATCAGGAAGCACCAATATCAGCCTTTCTGGAGCAAGAGACATTTCTTCTAAACGACCTGAAGTTGAAATAGAGGAAAATTCCCCAGACATCGATGGACCCAAAGGAAGATTCAATACAGAAATTTTAGCCCCAGGTGTTGATGTATCACAGGATAAACTGAGGGACCCTACAGCTGCAGTTAACGCACCCTCCGGACAGTTCAATGTCCCTTCTACAAAGAAAAGGGGCGTTAATTGTTTGTGATGTGCGGGAGATGGGGATAAAGACGACCCATATAGAAAGACTAAGGGAAGTATTAGCCTCCACCCGAGTGGCCCTGATGGATCACTAGAAATGGAAACACCTAGAAGAGTGGACATGAAAGCTCCCGGGGCTGACATTCAAGGACCTGCAGAAAAAAATGGCATGAGCCTCGAAATAACTAAACCAGATTCTGATATCGAGGGACCAAACTGGGGAATCTCAACAGGACCGCCAGAAATTTCCCTCCATGCAAAAGATCCAAGTATAAATAACCCAGATATATCCTTTCCATCAGGAAGCACCAATATCGGCCTTTCTGGAACAGGGGACATTTCTACTAAACGACCTGAGGTAGATATAGAAGCCAATTCCCCAGACATCGATGGACCCAAAGGAAGATTCAATACAGAAATTTCGGTCCCAGGTGTTGATGTATCCCGGGGTAAAATGAGGGGCCCTACAGCTGAAGTTAACGCACCCTCCGGACAATTGAATGTGCCTTCCACAAAGAGAAAGGGCGTTAATTGTTTGTCATGTGCAGGAGATGGAGATAAAGATGACCCATACAAAAAGACTAAGAGAAATGTTGGCTTTGACCAGAGCGGCCCTGATGGATCACTTAGGAGGGAAAAACCTAGATTAGCGGATATGAGTGCCTCCGTGCCTGATTTTCAAGGACGTGAAAAGACGAAAGACTTCGTCCTCAAAACAACTGGACCAGACTTTAATATTGAAGGAGCAAGCAAAGAAGTGTCCACAGGACCGCCGGAAATCTCCCTCCACGCAAAAGATCCAAGTATAAATACCCCGGATATGTCTTTTCCATCAGGAAGCACTAATATCGACCTTTCTGGAGCAGGAGACATATCTCCAAAACGACCAAAAATTGGAATAGAAGCCAATTCGCCAGACATTGAAGGGCCAAAAGGAAGATTCGATACAGACATTTCAGCCCCAGATGCAGATACATCACACGGTAAAATAAAAGGCCCTAGAGCTGCAGCTAACACACCTTCTGGACAGTTGAATTTACCTTCTACGAAAAGAAAGGGCGTTAATTGTTTGTCGTGTACAGGAGATGGCGACAAAGACGACCCCTACAGAAAGACTCAAGGAAATGTTGGCTATGACTTCAGCGCCCCCGATGGATCTATGGAGATGGAAAACCGTGGCAAAGTGGACATAAGAGCTCCCGGGGCTGGTTTTCAAGGACATGCACAAACAGATGACATGAGCTTCAAAATAACTAAACCAGACTTTGATATCGAAGGACCAAACAGGGGAATCTCAACAGGACCGCCAGAAGTCTCCCTCCACACAAAAGATCCAAGTACAAATAACCCAGATATATTTTCACCATCAGGAAGCACCAATATCAACCTTTCTGGAGCAAGAGACATTTCTTCTAAACGACCTGAAGTTGAAATAGAGGCAAATTCCCCAGACATCGATGGACCCAAAGCAAGATCCAATACAGAAATTTCAGCCCCAGGTGTTGATATATCGCAGGGTAAACTGAAGGGCCCTACAGCTGAAGTTACCGCACCCTCCAGACAATTGAATGTCCCTTCCACAAAGAGAAAGGGTGTTAATTGTTTGTCATGTGCGGGAGATGGGGATAAAGACGACCCATATAGAAAAACTAAGGGAAGCGTTGGCCTCCGCCAGAGCGGCCCTGATGGATCACTGGAAATGGGAACACCTAGGAAAACGGACATAAGTGCCTCCGCACCTGATTTTCAAGGACGTCAGGAAGCGACAGACATGAGGATGGAAACAACCGGACCAGACTATGATATCGAGGGACCAACCAAAGGAGTCTCAATTAGACCGCCTGAAATTTCCCTTCACGCAAAAGATCCAACTATAAGTACCCCCAATGTATCTATTCCATCAGGAACCTCTGATATCGGCCTTTCTGGAACGGGCGACATTTCTTCTAAACGACCTAGAGTTGAGATAGCAGGCAATTCTCTAGACATCGATGGACCAAAAGGAGGATTCGATACAGACCTTTCAGCCCCAGATGCTGGCATATCACATGGTAAACCAAGAGACCCTAGAGCACAAGCGAACGCACCCTCCGGACAGCTGAATTTGCCTTCTAAAAACAGAAAGGGAGTGAATTGTTTGTCGTGTGCAGGAGATGGGGATAAAGGCGACCCATACAAAAAGACTAAGGAAAATGTTGGTATCGACCTGGGTAGCCGTGGTGGATCACAAGAGATGGTGGAACCCAGCAAAATAGTCCTAACTGCTTCTGCGCCTGATTTTCATGAACGTGGAGAAACCAATGGCCTAGACCTCACAACAACTGGAACAGACTTCGATATCGAAGAGCCAAAGAAAGGAGTCTCAACAGGACCGCCAGAAATTTCCCTCCACGCAAAAGATCCAAGTACAAATACCCCCAATATATCGATTCCATCAGGAAGCACTAATATCGGCCTTTCTGGAGCAGGAGACATTTCTTCAAAACGACCAAAAGCTGAAATAGAAGCCAATTCCCCAGATATTGATGAGCCAGAAGGAAGAATAGATACACACCTTTCAGCCCCAGATGCTGATGTATCACATGGCAAACTAAAAGGCCCTAGAGCCCAAGTTGATGCACCCTCTGGAGAGTTGAATTTACCTTCCACAAAGAGAAAGGGCGTCAATTGTTTGTCGTGCGCGGGAGATGGGGATAAAGACGACCCATACAGAAAGACTAGGGAAAGTGTCGGTTCTAACCTTAGCGGCCCTGATGGATCATTGGAGATTGCAAAACCTCGTAAAGTGGACATAACTGCCTCTGCACCTGATTTACAAGGACGTGACAAAACGAGAGACTTGAGTTTCAAATCAACTGGACCAGACTTTGATGTTCGAGGAACATACGAAGGAAATTCAACAGAAGTGCCTGAAATTTCCTACGATGCAAAAGATCCAGATGCAACTATTCCATCAGGAAGCACTGATATCAGCCTTTCTGGAGCAGGGGATATTTCTTCAAAGCGACCAAAAGTTAAGATAGAGGGCAATTCCCCAGTTGTCGATGGGGCAGAAGGAACATTCGATACAGACATTTCAGCCCCAGATGCGGAGATATCAACTGCTAAACTAAGAGGCCCTAGAGCACAGGTTACCGCCCTTTCCGGATTCTCCACAGGAACGCCGGAAATTTCACTTCATGGAAAGGATTCGAGTTTAAACACCCCAGACGTATCTATTCCGCCAGGAAGTACAGGTATCAGCCTTCCTGGAGCAGGAGACGTTGCTTCCAAACCACCAATCATTGAAGTAGAGGCGAATTCCCCCGACATTGATGAACCAAAAGGAAAATTCGAAACAGACATTTCAGCTCCAGATGTTGATGTATCACGTGGTAAACTACAAGGCCCTAAGGCACAAGTTAATGTACCTTCTAGAGAGTCGAATTTACCTTCTTCTAAGAAAAAACGCGTTAATTGTTTGTCGTGTGCCGGAGACGGAGAGAAAGACGACCCCTATAGAAAGACTAAGGGGAGTATCGGCTTGAACCTCAAAGGCCCTGATAGATCACTGGAGGTGGAAAAACCTAGCAAAGTGGGGATAAGTACCTCTGGGCCTGATTTTGATGGACGTAAAAAGACTACAGGGCTAAAACTTAGTACAATTACACCAAACGTGGATATTCAAGGGCCGAATAATGAAATCTCCTTGGAACCTCCAGACATTTCAGAGAACAGTTTGGATACAGATACATCTGCTGCAAAATTAAAGATTGGCTTGAATTCGCCTGAATTTAAGGATCCAAAAATCGTAGATTCAGGATTTAATGCACCCAAAGTTTCATATGAGACGCCAAGGATTTCTGGACCCTCACTAGGGAGAATTGTTGATGACACTGATGCGCAAAGTACAAAGTTTGATCTTGATGCTTCAGATATTGATAAACCAGACTTTGGATCGGAAACACCGGGTAGAGGTGCAGGAATACGAGATAAAGAAATACCAGACTTCTCACTATCTGGACCATTGATTGGCAGAGAGGACAAAGATGTTGACTTTAATGGCTTCGACGTAAACATAAATGCGTCAAGAGTCTCTGCCGAGAAGCCAGATATATCCAATCCCCCGTTTGACGCCACAGCTGGTGATATTGACTTCGAAGGAGTAGACATACCAAGTGCTGACTTAAAATTGACTGGATTTGACATACCTAAACCTGGAGGCAAAGAAATGCACGTAACTAAACCAGATATCTTCATGCCATCTGTAGACGGAATGAGTGTGAATACCCCAGCTGTAGACCTACGTCAACGATTAGTAGCTGACATGAAGGGACTAGATGTTGAGCCACCTGACTCAGATTTTACTTTACCATCACCGAATAAGAAAGGAGCATCGTTGCAACTGGTCGACATGAAAGGTCTTAAAGGCAAGAGTTTTGAAGGTGACGTTGATTGGGGTATCAGCACTTCAACACCCAAAGATTCTGGTAGTGTAAAATGTGATGCAAATGTAGTCGAAGGCAATATAGAGGTCGTAGAAACGTACGATAACATGGAACTCAACAGTACACCAGAGTCTTTCCCTTCGGTATCGTATGACGAACCCCGCAGTCTCCAACGCTACGATGAGATACGCCCGGAAATGGAACTGAGGCTATTGTCACCAAAGCAACCTAAAGAGTCTGATCCAAACTTCAATGTAGACATCCCAGATGCCAACCTTGATTTAGATAATTGGAAGCCACGTGAAATGAGCCTGGTTAAAGTCGAAGAAAACGTAACTGTTTGTTCAGCATCAGTCCTAGTGCCTTCTGCAGAGAGAACATTAACACTAGATCGTGAAATTGAGCAAAGAATTGAACTTGAGCTCCCGGGCCATGAGGGTTTAGATACTCCATCTTCATTAAAGAAGAAAAGCAGTTCATCTTCATCATCCTCATCCTCTTCTGATACCGAGAATGATAAAGAAAAGAAGTCAAAACGAAAAAAGAAGTCCAAACTGCCAAAGGTGTTCCGAAAGAACTCAAACAGCTCAGCATCGCTCAAAGAAAGTAG